CACAAATAATTAAATATTACTAATTTTCTAGATTTAATACAAGGCATGCAAATAAGTTGTATAATTATGGAAAACACTCAAAACAATACATACAAAATCCTAAAACATCCCCTACCTCAATTTGAGATGGAAATCTCAAAAGCCAACAAAATGAAACGGCTCTGAATCCGACAATACTTCAAGGTTTTGTCAGAGACAACGCCGTGAACATTAAACTCCAAAGAGGACCTACCAAAATCCTAACTTGACCTCAAATTCGAACTCAAAAATTGGCCAAAAACGGGTTCTAATAAGGGGTAAAGATGCACGTAATCAAGACAAACACAAAACACAAATGCACTATGACTTTCTAACAAAGGGAAAAAGGTTTAATTGAGAAAAGAAGGGTGGCAGCCCCCCTTGGGCGGCCATGGGAGTTGCTGGTCGTGCATGAAGAGGGGAGAAGATAAAAATTGAAATGTCTCACCCCCCTTTTATAAGAAAACCCTAAAAGTGCCCCGAACGGGCCCCACCGGGTCCGAAAAAGTGAAATTTGAGCAGACGCGCTCAAAAAGCAAAACTCCGTGAACGAAAAAGAACCAAAATGAGAAAATATGAATAATGGAAGAAACGACGTCAAAAACTGAGTTCCGAGCAGAGAGATACGCCCCAAACAAGTTCGGCGACAACTGAGGCCAGAAATCCTGAAACTGGAGAAAAACGACCCGAAGGAAATTCTAAGAGTACATGACTCGATGAAATATGAAAATGAATCCTGTACAAGGATTTAGGCTCAAAACAAGGTATTTTGCAATAACTTTCGTTAATTGCATAATGGCCCTTCCAAAAAGGGTTAACTGCACTAATGACCCAAAATGAAAATATCTTCCAAAAATATTTTCTGAAAAACCCCTAAAATAAAATATCTTCAAAAGATATTTATGAAAAACACCCCAAGAAAAGAAAAAGATTCTAAAGAACTGGACACCGGGAGCAACCAGAGTACTTTTCTATAAAAGTAAATATATATATTTCGTGAAAACCACTTAGATTAATGATACATGAAGTCAAAAACTAATTCCGAGCATGAAAAGTGAGATTGTGCAAAAAAGTGACAAATGGGGAAAAGACGAAATAGGGAAAAGGACGAAAAGTGAATAGTATCGAAAAAATAAAAATGTGAAAATGACTCGGTCCTTAAAGGAAGTTATCAATCCAAATGAAAGAGTTTCAGAAATCATTTCCAAGCACTCGAGATGACACCCAATGACGAGAAACAGAACTCGGAAAAGAAAATTAAACGAAAAAAACTTATCCGTAAAATTTGAGAAAAAGGAAAGGGAGGCAAATGACCGGGTCATTACATGAAAAATCACTCTTTCCATCTTCTTTCTCCCTCTTGCCCGGCAGCCATGGAAGCCCATGGGGTTGCCACCTTCTCTCCCTTCTTTTGGAATTCCTCCATTTGTTAAAAAGTCATAATGCCTTTGTATTTTATGTTTGTCTTGACTACGCGCATCTTTCTCCCTTATTAGAATCCGTTTTTGACCATTTTTAAAGTTCAGGTTTGAGGTCAAGTTAGGATTTTGGTATGTCCTCTTTGGAGTTTTATGTTCACCATGTTGTCCCCGACATAACCTAGGAGTATCGTCAAATTCGGAGCACTTTTCTTTCGGTGGGGATTTGAGATTTTATCTCAAATGGAGGTAGGGGATGTTATAGTTTATATTTTTGTTATCTTGCATACTATTGATACTTATACAACTTGTATGCATGCTTTTGTTCATAATCTAGAATTTAATTTAATTATTTTCTATGTTTAAGATTCAATTCTCATGATGATATTTAACTTAGAATTAAATTGTGGCATGCTAGAAAATTAGGCTTTGGTATATTTATTAACATATATTAAATTTGGATTATTTGAAAAAGAATTGCAACTTTTATTTAATAATTTTCTTTTGTAAAAGTTTAATTCTCATGAACGTACCTTACATCAAATTAACTTGTGATATGCTTTTAAATTAAGTCTTGGCATGTTCTTTAACATACTTTAATTTGAGAGCATTTGGATTATTTTAAAAATCTAGAGATTTTAATTAAAAGAATTAATTAAAATCTATTTAATGGTTTCAATGGCTTAATTAAGTTTTTAACTTGATATTTGTGATGACTAGGACTTGTATACTAGCATATATTAATTTGGGACCATTTGATATTGTTTTAGAATTTAGGGATTTGATTATTATGACTTAATTAAATTCCATTTTATTGTTCCAATGGCCTAATTAAGTTTTGAATTCATATATGTAATGATCAAGTTATGTTGTATAACATGTATTAATTAGGGATCATTTAATTGAGATTTGAAACCTAGAGAAATTAATTAGGTTATGTAATTAATTTCCATTTCTATTACATTAATGATTTAATCATATGTTTGACATTGATTGTATATTCAAATCATGATTTTGAACTTGTAATGGATTCATGAGTTTATATTTTTAATGTTGAATCATATTGTTATAACGTGTAACGAATCGCACACTGAAGATTTGACATGTGATGTTATTATAGCGTGCAACAAATCGCACTCTGAAGATTCGACATTGTCATCCTATAGTAGTTGTGGATTTAGAGCATGTATTGTGTGGTTTCAACCTACTTGTGCATAAGATGTAATTTCATGCTTTATATATTTCGTATATAAGTTGTTAACTTATTTATTTTGGAGTCACTGGGGACATTGTTAATGAGATATGGCTAGAGTTTGGCTCTAGCACGGGAGGTATGAGTTCTCCCTATTTGATAGTACGCATCAAGGTGGTATTCTCAGTGGGTTAATGCCCGGAATAACCGTAGTTCTTGATTTTATCCAAGATTTGATGTCTAAGTCTCCTACTACTTGATTTCGCATTCAATTTCAAGTTGACAACCAATGTTTAACTGTGACTTGTGATTTTGGTTATTGGTGATTTAATGTTGTTAAATACAATTATGCATAATGATTTGTAAAAAATCATCGCATGTTTTGAATGTTGTTAAGTACATTTATACATTATGATTTGTAAGAAATCATCGCATGTTTTTAATGTTGTTAAGTACATGTATGCTATAAATGTTCAAATGTAGCTTAAGAATGATCCTATAGATTCATTTAAAACGTAGACGTTAGGTGGCATGACCCATTTTAGTTGTTTTCGTGTTTTAGATTTTAAGTCGATGGCTTTGAGAATCTATATCTTGTTACTTTGTATAGCATGTTTTTATGTTATTTAAATTACATGAATGATGTGATTTATGCTAGAAATGTTCTAAGGTAGCTTAGGATGATCCCTGAGTCACACATTTGACATAGACGTTAGGTGGTATGACCTTTTGAATGGTTTCGCATTAATGTGATAATTTTGTAAAACGTTAGGTCCTTGCATGCTCATCTCCTACGAATAGCTTTATGTTACTCACCCCAAAGTTGCCGAGGTCATTTTTTAGGTACAGGAATCAAGGTTAAGATTCTCATTATGCTTGGACGATTTGTGGACTTGAAGGTTCCATTATTGTAAAAGTTGGTTTGAAATGCCGCTTGTAGCCTTATATGTCAAAATGTGTATATTTGTTCAAAACATGTAATGTGTACATGAGTACACTCTTTATAATGTATTTGACATGTATGAGATGAGGCCGGAGGCCAACGATCATCATTTTGTATCCTATGTAAATTTTGACTTCATGAAATATTATGGAAATATTGAAAAATGTCAAGCCATTGCTTCACCATGTTTGCATAGGGTGTGGGAATTCCATTTTTATTCTTTCATAGGGTCTCATTAATCATGTATGAAATGTGGCCAATGGCCAAAAGGTAATTTGAAATCATTTGTTAATTTTGATTTTCAAATTTCCCATTTCTTGTTCATTTTCGCCTTTTTAGCCGTCGGGGGGTTGTACTTTGCATCGGCGTTATTTTTAAACCGTGGATCATTGTAGCGCATCCTATTAGGTAAGTTACATTTGTGTGCATGATCTTTTTCAAGAAAAACCTTTTCCTTAGTGATTTGAGCCTCCTATATACTCATGTTGCATTTTTATTGCATAATTTGGTTTAGGGGCATTTTGGAGTTTTTCTTTGGGAAATAAATTCCGTCCTTGACATGGTCACCTAGAAAACATGATTTTTGGGGAGGGGGGGTTTCTTTTTCGCGTTTTTCCAAAAAATGTCATCTTGGTACCTAAAATCTCTCGCGAAGTTCAGCTTTCCGTTTTTCATTTTAACAACTTTTTGACCCTCATGACCTGATTTTATGGAGGGGCATTCTGGGCATTTCACAGCGAATTTTTTTCATTTTCTTCGACGTTGTCGAGTAGAAAACTCGATTTTGGGGGGAGCGGGGGTTTTTTCTTTGTGTTTTTCCAAGAAATGTCATCTCGGCTCTCAAAAACCCATTTTTTTTTCAAAAAAACCCCTACTGTCAGCTTTTTGCTAATTTTTAGTACAAGTGTACGGGTGGTGGATTCATGTAACTGGCTACATGAGCTTGGGCAGATTGTGGTTGCCTTTGTTTTTGCTTCCTAACCGGTTAAATGGTCTTAGGTTGACTATTTTGACCTTTTTACCCCTTTTTCTTTTGTTAGCTATATCTTCTTTATCCGGACTCCGAATTAAATGATTCTTGAGTCTAAGTTTATTAATTTTTTATTTTGTTTCCAATGGTGTACTCGGTAGCACCCATTTTCATTTTGGAAATGACCTTTTTTCCCCTAGGTTCATTCTTGTCTGTTTTTGAAACGTCGTTTTCGCATTTATTTTCTTTGGTTCCATGACCTCATTGAGGGTCATATTGGTGTCTTAGAAACGTATTGTATCTCTAGAGACCGTTATTTTATCTTTTGCTTCTGCATTCCGGATTCGTTTTCGGATCTACGTTCGGTTCATCACAGGACGTACTAGCCTAAAAACCAGGGCCGTCACACTATGCATGCATTCCCAATGATCCCAACAAGTTAAAAACATACTTGTGAACTTTAAAAATTAATGGCCCTTGCCCTCATGTTATACATACACATAAAAATGAATACCAAAAGGTCTGCTTAGGCACACATTACATGTTTAAAATCAAATATACACATTTTGATATATAAGGCTACAAATGGTGTTTCAGCCAACCTTTACAAGAATGGAAACCTTCAAGTCCACAAATCATCCAAGCATAACGAGAATCTCAACCTTGATTCCTGTACCTGAAAAATGTCTCCAATGACTTCGGGATGAGTAACATAAAGCTACTCGTAGGAGATGAGCATGCAAAGACCTAACGTTTTACAAGATTATCACATTAATGTGAAACAATTCAAAAGGTTATGCTACCTAATATCTATGTCAAATGTGAGATTCAGGGAGCATCCTAAGCTACCTTAGAACATTTCTAACATGAATCACATCATTCATGCAATTCAAACAATATAAAAACATGCTATACAAAACAACAAGATATAGATTCTCAAAGCCATCAACTTGAAATCTAAAATATGAAAACGACAAAAGTGGGTCATGCCACCTAATGTCTATATTCCAAATGAATCAATAGGATCATTCATAAGATACATTTGAACATTTAAAGCATAAATGTACTTAACAAAATTAAAAACATACGATGATTCCTTACAAATCATAATGCATAAATATACTTAACAACATTAAAAATATGCGATGATTCCTTACAAATTATAATGCATAAATGTACTTAACAACATTAAAAACATACGATGATTCCTTACAAATCATAATGCATAAATGTATTTAACAACATTAAATTGCCAATAACCAAAACCACAAGTCACAATTAAACATGATTGTCAACTTGGAATTGAATGCGAAAACAAATAGTGGAAGACTTGGAAAATCAAATCTTGGATAAAACCAAACCTAAACGGTTATTCCAGGCACTAACCCGCTGGAAATACCACCCCGTGAGCACAAATGACTTAGAGGACTCTTGTCCCCGTACTAGAGCCAAACCCTAGCCCCCATCTTAACGTAACAATGTTCCAAGTGACTCCAAAATCATAGATAAGTTCAAAACTTATATAAATTAAATAATGCACGAAACCACCTTCCATACATAAGTAGGTTGTAACCACACAACACATGCTCTAAATCCACAACTACTATAGAATGACAAATGTCGAATCTTCAGAGTGCGATTCGTTACACGCTATAACAATATCATTCAATATTGAAAATATAAACTCATAAATCCATTACAAGTCCAAAATCATGATCTAAACACACTACCAATGTCAAACACATGATTAAATCATTAATGCAATAGAAACAGAAATTAATTCGATAACTAATTAATTTCTTTAGGTTTCAAATCTCAATCAAATGGTTCCCAATTAAAATATGTTAAACAACATAGCATGATCATTATATATACTCATTCAAAATCTTAATTAGGCCAATAGAACCATTAAATAGATTTTAACTAATTCTTTTAATTAAAATATCTAGATTTTCAAACTCATCCAAATGTTCTCAAATTAAAGTATGTTAAAGAACATGCCAAGACTTAATTTAATAGCATATCACAAATTAATTCCATACAAGGTACAACCATGAGAATTAAACTTTCATAAAAGGAAATTATTAAATAAAAGTTACAATTCTTATTCAAATAATCTCAATTTAATATATGTTGACAAACATACCAAAGCCTAATTTACTAGCATGCCACAATTTAATTCTATCACATATATAACCATGTGAATTAAATCATACACAAAGAAAATAATTAAATTAAATTATAGATTATGAACAAAAGCATACATACAAGTTGTATAAGCATCAATAGCATGCAAGACAACAAAAAAATAAATAAACTATAACATCCCCTGCTTGCATTTGAGATGAAATCTCAAATCTCCACTAAAAGAAAAGTGCTCCGAATCCGATGATATTCCTAGGTTATGTCGGGGACAACATGGTGATCATTAAACACTAGGAGGTCACACCAAAATCCTAATTTGGCCTCAAACCCGAACTCATAAAAATGGCAAAAAACTGATTCTAATGAGGGGGAAAGATGCGTGTCGTCAAAACAAACATAAAACACAAAGGCACTACGACTTTTTAACAAAGGGAAGAAGTCCAAAAGAAGAGAGCGAATGTGGCAGCCCCATGGGCTTCTATGGCTACCGGCCAAGAGAGGAAGAAGAAGAGAAAAATCTAATTTTTCTTCTTAAGTTGTCCTATTGATAGAAAAACCTTAAAAGTGTTCCGAAAGGGTCCCGCTGGGTCCGGAAAAGTGGAATTCGCACAGACGCTCTCAAACGGCAAAACTCTGTGAACGAAAAAGATCTGAAATGAGAAAAGATGAACAACAGAATAAACAAAATCAAAAATCGAGTCCCGAGCATAAAGATATGCCCCGAACAAGTTCGGTGGCAACCGGGGCCAGAAACCCTGAAACTGGGGGAAAACGACCACAAGGAAATTCTAAAAGTACGCGACTCGACGAAAAGTGAAAATGAATCCTGTATGAGAATCGAGACTCAAAACGAGTCATTTTTGCCATCATTCATTCGATTAGCTTTTTCCACCCAACATTATTAAAAGTTGTATTTGTACGATTTCCTTGCCTAACCTTTTCCCCCATTAGCAAAATAAATTTCTCTTCTAAATAGTCATCCCAAATATTTTCCCATCATCCATCGTGTCCATATCTACTTGCACATCATCACCCAAGCTCATTTCATTGGCATACTCATATAGATTATTGGGATTAAGATCCATTTAATAAACATAATGGTTATAAAATTATAATCAGAAATATTATTGAGAACCAATTATATAGGTAGCATGGTACACAATAACTCAAGTTCAATACAAATAAAAAGTATAAAAAAGATATATTATAACTCTTACTGAGAACCAATCAATTTTTTTTTTTAAATATAAAACAGTTACAAGTTAGAAGTCACTTTGCATACAGGTAGTATGATAAATAGTACAAATACACAGCAAAATAAAAGACAGAAAAATGGACCAATCTGTATATTCAGAAAAATGGAAGACAGAAAAAACAAAAGACAGAAGTTCAGCAATGTAATGTTCCTTTAAATAAGAAGATCAGTAAATCAAGAAGAAAGGCTCATGCATTTCTGGGATTAATGCTGATCAGAAAGAAAACTAAGGTGAGACACCTTTTAATGAGCTAACCATACAATATAATTTGATGGGCACAATTAATAAACCTTTACATTACAAGGGCCATACTTAGATTCCCATGAAAAGTTAAAATACCATTTTCTGTTTTATTTTTATCAAAATGCACAAAGCGGCCACTAAAGCAAATGAGAGCCATCATAACAAATGATGATATGATGCTAACATTCTGCTTCTCTCTTTCTCTCTCTCTCTCTCTCTCACACACACACACACACACACACACACACACACACACACAGGCATGTGATGCCATGCAAGTTAAATACAGAGTTTTCTATTAAAATAAGACTTAGTTTGAGAATATGTGATGTATGTAAACCAGAACAGCTGAAGCAAATCATAAAACACAGAACAGGAACCACAGGAACAAGAATATGAAGGAAGACTGGGAATATTAATCAAACCAAACTGTAAGAAACTGCGTCCTTCAGCTTGTCAACTATTATTAATCAAACCAAACTAGCTGTAACCAAAATGGGTAGATTTTCGATGTTCCAAAAGATTGACAGCTGTTAAGCATTAACATGTTCACAAAGAGTAAATCAACAAAGTGACTTCAAAACCAATTTACAAAATCTGAATCTTAAGTGACAAAACTTGAATTTCTGAAGTAGGGTTTTCAGATCCAAGCACAAATTCAACCAAAAATAAGACACAAGATAGTAAAATGTGAATCGAAGTGACAAAACTTGAATTTCCGAAGTAGGGTTTTCAGATCCAAGCACAAAGTCAACCAAAAATAAGACTGAAGATAGTAAAATCTGAATCAAAATGACAAAACTTCAATTTCCGAAGTACTATTTCTAGATTCAAGCACAAAGTCGACCCAAAATGTTACACAACATGAAAAAAAAAAACTCATCCAAGTAACAAAACTGAAACCCTCACCACTAGGGTTTTAGATCCAAGCAAAAAAACGAAGACGAAATAAGAAAAAATTACCATCAACACGAAGAAGAAGACGAACAAGAACAGAATGAAGCTATGTTTACCGATCGGAGCCTGCAAAAACGTCGTTTGTAGCGACGGGATGGTTGAAGCTCGGTGCACAGTGAAATCGCCTCCGAATCGCCTTAGGGTTGCTCTAGGTTGCTTCTCATATTTGTGGCGATATTTTGGAAATATTGCTTCAAGTATTTGGGCTACTAATGGGTTATAGTGCAGAAGCATTTTACGGGCTACAGTAGTGGAAGCAACAAGAAGCATCAAAATGATGCTTCTAAAAATAGGCCCAATAATGGAAGTGTTTCAGCACTATTTGGAAGCATAGCAGATTTCACCAAACATGCTTTGGGCCGGAGTTTTGCTACAGTAACTGACCCAAAGCAAAACACCAAACAGGCCCTTGGTAAAACAGATATGGTGAATTCCAAAAGCCCGGGGCAGCAAAAGATGGAAATGAGAGCGATGGACGATGTAGCTATGGGCCAAGACCTAACACCTCCCTGCCCGCCCCTCGCTTTTTCTCTCTACGACTCCACACTCCTCTCTCTCTGCTCCGCCTGCTCTTCTCCTCTCTCTCCTCCACCCCACCAATTCCCATCTCTTCTCCCCACCTTTCCCATCAATTCCCATCATGTCCACCAACCCTCTCTTCACTACTGTTCCTCACAATGCTCCGACTCCGACTCCGACCTCCACCTGTCCAGCGCCGAACACCACCTCCTACTCCTCCTCAGCCAATCCCACCCCTCCTCGTATCCATTCTCCGGCGACACGTCCGACCTCCGCGCCGCCCTCCGCCTCCTCCGTCGCTTCGAGAACCTCAATGCGGGATGCCTCCCGGAGAGAAATCGAGTCGGCGGTTTGATGAGCAATCGCGACGAATTGATGTCTCGCGGCGAGGACGAGGGAAACGGTGACGTTTTGTGCAGGATTAGGGGCGGCGCGAAGGCTATGGCGGCGGCGAGAAGGATGCGAGACGGTTTGGATTTGGAATTCTTGGGGGAGTGCTTGCTGGAGGAGGCGGTGCTGTGCCTGGTGCTAACGAACGCCGTGGAGGTGCAGGTTAAGTTGGGCCAAGGCGTTGGCGTTGCTGTCTACGATACGACCTTCTCGTGGATCAATCACAGCTGCTCTCCCAATGCTTGTTACCGGTTTCTGCTGCCGGAGGTGACTCAATGCTCTGGCGAGCCACGGTTGTGGATCACGCCGGCAGCCACTGGGGGCAGCAGTGATGAAATTGAAGTGTCACATAATAATAGTGTTGGTACCAAATGTAAATTAGTAAAAATTGGTTATTTTGTAGTTGATATTTCATTGGGATTAATTGTTGTTTTGGTTTATATGTAGGATGTCTGGAATATGGTCCAAGAATTATTGTTCGGAGTATCAAGGCCATAAAGAATGGGGAGGAGGTGTCTATTGCTTACACCGACTTGTTGCAGCCCAAGGTCTATTTTATATATTTTGTAAATTTTTGCATCGTATTATGACGTTTATATATGTGATTTTAGCTTGTGGAATCATTTATAAGTCAGTATTGCCTGTTTTTTTTTTTTTTTTTTTTTGAATGGTTTATAAGTCACTAGACAATGAACAAAAAAACCGTGCTGACAGATGTCATTAGTACAAATAAATACAGCTAAACCCAACATCCAGCAGAACCATTAAAAAAACAGAGCCTAGATCAGAAATGGATTCCTAGCCAGTTCAAGATGACTGTTACCACCATGCCTTCTTCAGTTTTCTATACCTCCAAATGCACCACAAGAGAGCTGTGAATAAAACACCTTAACAATGTATATCTCATTGCTTGACCCTTGGTATGCGCAAGGAACCAAGACACCACCTCTGAGAGATGCTGCACAGCCATTGCCTCCCATTAACACACCTGAGAAAGCCACTGCCACACACTTTGGCATAAGAACAACACCGGAACAAACTCTTTGGTATCATCATCAGAAAAACAGATGTGCCATATAGCTCATCCTATAAAACTTATGCATGATGAAGACTAAAGAACTCCACACATGCTTATACCATGGGACTTGATCACATTGTTCTCTACAACAAAACAGAGATGTCAAAGGAGAAGATTTTCAGAAATCCTTAGCTTCTAGGCCGGAGCAAAAAATTAAATCTAGATCAGCTACCATCAAGCTTTTATGGCCAGCTGTTGTGGAGTGTGAGTGTCTCCACCATGCACCCTTCTATTCCTTTCAGTCGATATACACCATAAGATAGCTGTAAATAGGCACCTCATCAATTTACTTTTCACTGTGTGAGCTGTAGTATGAATTTCGAACCATGGTACTACCTCAGAGAAGTGTTGGAAGCATAAAATACCATCCCAGTGGAAAGCATGAGAAATCCATTGCGAGGCACTCTGTTCTCTGCACACATTCCACATTGCTTTGAATGACATCAAACCATGCTTCCATTGTATTAAATCTGCAGAATTACTTGTTGGCAAGTTGTGAAAGAATTGATGAATTTCGTCAGGCCGGTTGTCACGTATGCACCATCCAGTAGGAGTCTTCAAAACTGATAGCCGATCAGAGTATGAGTAACCAGCAGGTAACAATCTTCTTAAACCAAATTTCTGCTGAAGGGAAATGCCATTGTAATTTGTACCAGGGATCATAATTCATAGAATAGGGTGAATGACTGACCATCTGTGATACCCTCAGATTTTCGAATGCGGGTTGGCCGGGCCCACGCCCGAACACCCGAGGATATTAAAAACGAATCGACAATAAACGAACACAGAGTACAAAAGAATAAAGAAGAATAAATAAAATGCTGACAAGAAACTAAAATGATAATCTAATTATAAACTTCAGAATATATTTCCATTAATTAATAAACTCTTCTGATACAACTGATCCTCCAAAATACAACTCGGGAATCCATACTGTGTGGACCCCTAGAAAATCCAAACTAAACAAATGACAGCAATAACTGTCTAAATCAGGAAACTGAATCATAAATGAACTCCTATGTAGCATCGGAAGAATGAAGTAGACTGATCCTCGCTCAGCACGAACAACCTCTACTCCTGACGAACACCTGAAAAATAATGGTGGGTCAGGTCCACAAACAAGTTCTACTCTACTACAGTCCAAGCAGAGATCCGATACACGTATACATCCTAGTCAATCCAACAGTAACTAGTAGTCCGTATATATATACACACACACACTAAAGGAACCTCACTAGACTATAGGGTTGTCTTAACATGAATAGTAGGCAATATGCAAAACGCACATATAGTGGGCATGAGTACCTAGACCTACCAGGGTACACAACTACACTATATCTAGCTACACATCCCTGGCGATATACGCGCCCTAACCACTGATCCTGATACTCAAGCTCATATCATGGCACCATACTTATATATATATAATCTAGTAACCATCCTATCCAGTATAAATTAATCCTCCATAAGTCATTCAACTTGCTCAGCTGACCTGACTTGAATATAAGTAGGACTTAACATTTTAGTTAATTCATTCCCTTATATGATAAATTAATCCTCCATAAGTCATTCAACTTGTTCAGCTGACCTGACTTGAATATAAGTAGGACTTAACATATTAGTTAATCCATTCCCTTATATAAAATAGGTAGGACTTAACTGATAAGTTAATCCGTCCCTAAAATGCCACCGTCCCATATCGGTGCATTAAACCACACAATCCAACAATTGATGTAACGATTAAGGAAATACATCAAACAATCCAAAAATAACTATGATAATATGATATCAGTTATCACAAAATAGGAATGACTTATTATTTATTTAAGCTTGCTATATCATATGTCCCACACAAACTGAATCTTATACATGATGATATTTTATTATACCGTCAAATAAGCATTCTCTATATCCAATTCATCCTACACATTTAATCTTAATTGCTAAAATATTTTAAAAGATTAAATCCATTCGTTTGTTTAAAACATTCAAATAGCAAACATCATTATGATTGAGTCTATTTAAATTTATTTAAACCCAAACCTAGTTCCTATTTAATGTTCAGGAATCCTAGGCATGTTTCTACGTTCCATCATTTCACAGATATGAAAAATACATAATTTAAACATGTAAAAATTCACACCGGAAATCAAATCAAAATCATGCATTTATCAATTCGTAACACAATAACAGATATGAACCAAATTCATAAAACCTATGTTTTAATCCAATTAAACATGCATAATTATTTAATTTTATGTGTTTAATAAATCCTGGAATTTCCTAGGCATGTACAGAAACACGAATCAAAGGGAAAGAGATAGAAGAAGAACTTGCCTTAAACTTTCGGATCGAAAGTTAAACTTCTTCTTCCTTGATCTTCTCTCTACAGGGTTTTTTCTCCTCCTTCCTTCCTTTTCCTCATTCATTCTCTAACTCTCTCACTCTCTAGAATATATCACGTGAATATTTCTAACCCCCTTTTATAACCTATAGCTATATATTTATAGGCTAAATAAAATAACCCTAACCCTTTTCCCAATCCAAGTCAACTTAAAAAAAAAAAAAATTAAAATATTAAAAAGGTAAGTAAAATATGTTACGTATATAATTTATGTATATGTTTATTAAATAAATAAATTATACACATTCCATTATTTATTAATGGATTATCCAATAATAATTAAGTTACCATAATATTATAAGGTAACTTAAAACATAACACGTATCAAATCTATGTATATTTTTATTATTTAAATATAAAACATATATATCAGATTAAATATTACTACCCAAGTTACCATAAAAGTAATTAATATATTACTTTCCTTTTTATATATGTATATAATATATAGCTATATATATACATACACAATTATCCATGGGCAATAATCCATACACATCCAACCTCCTATCCAAGTAGTCCATGGGACCCAATTGGTTGGCCCATTACTACTAACCATAATCATAAAAGAAAAATAAAATAAAATAATAAAAGAAAAGAAAATATTTAATTTACAACTAATTAAAATACCATTTAAGCACATAATCTAATTAAACAATTAACACATAGACAAATACAAATAATACATAGACACATAATCAAATAATCAAGTAATACATAATTCAATTAAACACATAAGCAAGTAGTCAAATAATCAATTAAATAATTAAAAATACAATTAAAACAAATAAATAAATACCGAGACTATCCTTTTAAAATTAGGGGTATTACACCATCATCATGGAGAAGTTCAAGTGTTGTAGCAAAGAGGCTCTGTTGTCCAGGATAGATTTTCATATGGCTGAATCAGAGGCTCTGGCATTCATTGTCCAAAAATAACTGAGGATGCCGAAGATAGAATGGGCCGGATTTGACCTACGAAGGAAGCATCGGATCGAACAGTTGGACTCAACCCATACTGTATCATTGAAGACTGGGCCTAACATCCAGGATCTACCGAACAAAGTCAGGCCCAAAAGGAAGGAGACCCGAAGCTAAGAGCCCTACATAAGAAGTTAGTTACAACACTCTAACAGCACTGGTAATTACATATAAATAGACCATTGCGAGAGGAAAAGAGGGGATTTTTTCTGTTGAAGTGTAAGAAGAATTCTAGAGAGAGAAAAAAGAAGAAGTTTCTTGCATCTTCAATTGGCGCCGTTTGTGGGAACGAAGAAGATTGATTTTCGATCGATTAAAAGTAATTTGATCAGGAATGATTTGTGGAGAAGAATCTTGATCTCTGAAAACTAGATCAAGATCGGCAACATCGTTGTTTGTTTGGCCGAATTCCGATTCTTCTTGATTTTGCAGAGATTTGCGTTCGATCTACGCAGCTTTGATTTGTGCCTGTTCAATCAATCAACGCAGCGTTGATTTGATTGTGATTGCAATTGATCTGTCAGAGCTTAACTTGACAGGTTCACGGTGGATGAGATAGGGATTAGGTCAAGAGAGGTCATAATTCGGCTGATTCGAATCTAGATCTGGTGTGAACGCATTAGCGAAACTCAAATCTGATCAAAGTGTTGGAGTTGATGACTTTGCTTCGATCCGGAATGATGATCGGAGGCGAGAGTTCAAATCTAGTGGAGAATGGTCAGCAGATGAAGCTCGATGAATTGATGAGCATGATCGAGGCTCTGAGAAAGGAAAACGTAGAGTTGAGAACTGAAAGGCAGCATCGAGAAGGTCCGGGTGTACCACGACTGCCTCCGGTGCGAGAAAGAGGTGCACAGCTTGATGAAGCACATCGCGACGAGTGAGAAGAAGATAACCACGAGGATCTTCACAGCGAGGAGGTCAGGTTGGAGGATCTACCGCCAAATCCTCGTCGAGTCGAAGATCGAGAAGGATCTATACACCTAGATCCGCATCGTGAGCAGACTAGGCGAGAAGAAGCTACGGCTTTCAATCCAAATTAGGAAAGGCACAATCGAGGACAGGCTACGGAGTTTGATCACCAC